AATACTAGATACCTATAACAAATACATGAAATTAATGCTAGATACTTTTATGATACATATGAATGTACTTGCAGGACACTCATGTATCTAAGTGTTTAGTTTGTTGGATACATCATATATTGATAATAGATACATCAAATTAATGAATTTATTATTTTAAGAGTAATAATTTGAAATTAATCAAATTGCATTACCAAGATATACATGTTTTTATCTTATATTAATAATATTAATGAATTTACTATTTCAAAGAATAATAAAATGAAATTAATTATCTATGTATTTTGAAAATCCTCAATTACTCCTCTAATTAAGGAAATCAGTTCCAACCAATTAATTTAAATAAATAAATTTTGTATCTCAATTTAAAAATTTGACAGATACATGTATCTCATGGATTCAGACTCGTGTATCCTAAGCATAAATATGGTACAGAAAGTAATATTTGAAACTATTGGGAATCTTAATAATTAAGACCTAAACTAGTGGGATTTATGTGATTTGCCCTAGATAAAATGCCCCTTTTTCCTCCTTTCTTAAGAATTACGTATCACCTTTGTTCACATGATTCTATTGTTGATTGCTTTCAAACTAATTACTTAGATAAATTTCATGTTTACACGAAATAAACCTAAATATGAAAAAAATATGAAAACAAACAAGATCCGTGAGTGACATTTCGATAGCAACTCATCTAATTTCATATTGAAAAAATTACATAAATATACTATATTTCGCTTTAATGATTTGAACCGTTAAAATCATTCTTATAATATATTACTATTGTTACTTTAGACATTTGGGGGATACAAAGTTAACTTACTCTATTAATTCAGATTGACATTGAATAAGCCTATCTAACAATATTAACATTACTTCCGTTGCATACCAAGTCCGATCAATTTTAACATGATAAAAAATTGTTAGTCCAAAGAATATATTCGAAATAAAAGATGATGGTAGGAGATCTCACAAATTAATAATAGGTAAACGAATGCCAAAAATATAAAACAAATAACAAAAAATAGGAATATATTTGAACCTTTTCCCATAAATAAACCAACCAAATTAAAATTCATATTTACATGAAAAAAAAGATTAATCAATGAAATAAAAAATAATAAAAAATATCCATGATTCAAAACACTTCCATTCTCCCTCCATCACTCCATGTTTCTTCATTTGTACATATGCTAATCTTCAAATACTTTTATCCAAATTTCCAAAAGGTAAATTCCTTTTTACAACTTGAAATCACCTCATACTTGTTCAAAATATTTCATTTTAGGAATCATCGGCACAACAGAGGGTTAAATCTCAGTGGATCGACACAACAGAGGTCTAAATCTCAGTGGATCGTGACAGCAATATCATTCTGCTATACAATATTCCATAACATATTCAAGTGGATTTTTTTGGTCATTTCACTATGAAACCAAAAGTTGAGAGTAACCAAAACTTGGATGTGGTGATAATGGTGACAAAGGTGGCACTTCAAAAATACCTTTTCCATTTCCACTATCCCAAATTGAAGACCAATTTGAAGGTGTTAATGGAGTTGCTACCATTTGTTCTCTTTTCACCTCTTTCTTCACCACAACTCTGTCATCATTCTCCATTTCTCCTCTTACCCTTTTCCCACAAGAATTCGTATTCAAATTCAAACTTACTACATTTTTCTCAATCTCATGATTTTCTTGCTTGAAATTGCTTACTTCAAGTGGGAAATTCATGATTGCTTTACTCCCTCTGAGCCTAAATGCTGCTCTGTCATATGCCAAAGCTGCATCGATTGCAGTACCGAATGTTCCTAACCAAACCCGTGTCCCCTTTCTAGTTGGATCACGAATCTCCGCTGCAAATTTCCCCCATGGCCTTTGTCTCACTCCTCTGTATCGCTTTTTCTCCGAATTTTCCACCATTTTCTGAACAGAGTACTCTGTTTTTACTTCCCCTGTTTTTGGTTCCTCTGTTTTCTTGACAGAAGGAATTGAAATGTTTAACGAAGGTTTTCGATCATTGAAACTTCTTTTCTTTTGGGGTTTAGCTTGGAATTCAATTGTTGAGTTATCGAACAAACGAGAGGCAGATTCAAGATTTAAACTTTGAGCTGTATTGATGAAATCAGGATAAAAAGAGAAATTGCTTTCAAGTTTGATCTCAGAGGTTAATGATTCTAAAGATTCCGAATTCAATGAGGTTTGAGAATAAAGGGTACTACTTGTTTCTGATGATGAAGAAGAGGAACAATAATTTTCCATGAAAACAACATCATCAAGAAGATGTTGCCTTATCATATCTAGTGAAGAAGAATCCATTTTTAAAAAGTAGAATTTGAAAAAAATGAGATTTTGTTGGTTGAATATTATGAAAGAATTGAATTGAGTGGGAAATGAAGAGTGAAAATGGAGATTATAAAGGGTGGAAAATTTTAAGTTCAATGGAGGTTTCTTGGAGCCTTCTTGGTTAGAACAAGGAAGCCTCTTGTGGCCTGTGGGGCTTATCCATTTCCCATTTTTTAAAGTATATGATATATGGTACCACTTGTTATAATAATAATAATTATGAAATAGATGATGTTGATTTTATGTTTTTAGTGTCACTGATGATGTATCTTCCACTTATGGACCCCTATTTCTAGGTTACTTCTTTCATTCTTTTTAATTACTTTTTTTCATTTTAATTTTTACATGAAAGAATAAAGAAAATTGATAAATATAATAAAAATAACAATATATGAAGTGAAATTTTTATTTAAAGAGAATGATGTGGTTATTTCTGATAAACTTTTCTATCCCTATTTTATAAGGATAGAGAAATTATTTTAGATAAAATTCTTAATTTGAGTAAAATTGATGATATAAAAATTGTATTTTTGTTTAGTGTTTTTCATTTGTAATCTAGATAAATAGATTTAAAAAGGAATTTTGAGAGAAGTGAAAATGCAGCTTCTTGTTATTATATTATTAATGTTTAAGACTTATGATGGGACCAATAAGTTCTTTTCTTAATTAGAAGTTTTCAATTTTAACCTTAGAAATTACAATAATAATATATTCAGTGAAATTCACAATTGGGATCTAAATTCTGGAGAGGATAGAGGTACGCAAGGTAGACAGATTGCTTTCGAAGGATTCTCGACTCAAGTACAGCAATTTCAAGTACAAAAAAAGGAGACAATGACGAAAGTATAGCAAACAACAATAAAATAGTGTGATAATCAAATATCAGAAACAAGAATTATAATAATATTAGTATAATGACAATGACAAGCACTATTAAAGTAAAAATTTATTTTGAATATTTTTTCTCCATAATTTTAAACTTATATGAATTGATGGTGTAAAATTATTGCACTACCTTTAAAATATAAAATAGATAATTTAGACTGACAAGTAATTGAACACAATAAATAAAATTAATAATTTGAAAAATAAATTATTATTCTAGTATATAATGGAAGGTTGGGGTGTTCACGGGTCAGTTTGAATCGGTTATTGGTCAAAACCAAAACCAAATCAACTTAATCGGTTTTAAAATTATCAAAATCAAACCAAACCAAATATAATATACATTTATCGGTTTGGTGGTTATCGGTTTCGATTTGGTTTGGTTCGGTTATTTGGTTATTAACCCTACACAAAAATTAAAAGAAACAATTCATTCAAAATGTAAAAAAAGTGACAACAATCCATTCAAAACGAAAAATAGTTAGAATGAATTAATTACTAAACTTTTGATCACTAAATTTACTATCAATAAAGCTTTAAAATTCACTATATTGGCCTAGAAGGAAGAGACAATAACATTTTCAGTCCACAGAGAATTGGATAGACACTCATATACATGAAATCAATAAGAGAAATGTTTCATCTTGGCCATTTTTGCTTTCAATAAATAAATTATAAAGAAGTTTTAATGAAAATATGTATAAGATATTTAAAATTGTTTATAAAAATAATATATTAAGTATGTATATTAATATAATATATGTATATAATTCATCAGTTTGATTCGGTTATTTCTTCAATTTTTTCGAATAAAACCATAACCACATCAAATACTATCGATTTTCAAAAATCTAAAACCAAACCCAAATAAAATCGGTTTTATTTTATCGGTTTGGTTCAGTTTTTCGGTTTGGATTGGTTTTTATCCAAACCGTAAACACCCCTAATGGAAGGGATATGGGTTCACATTACATGCCCCCACCCCACCCCCACAAACTATTTATAATGACGTTATATCTCTTCAAAACTACTTAAATATATATATATACTTATCTTAGTACTCAAGCTTATAGAGTCTTATGGTGCCATAATTATTAAGTGCGCCTCTATAATTAAGTTTGAAGGTTCAGTTTCTATGTTTTTGGTTCGACGATAAAAATTTAAAAGTTAAATTTGAATATTGAATTCGTCTATTTATCATAATGTATTCATCTTCTTGAGATTCTGAATCCATCAAATTACGACTCATAATTGTTTGACTATTGCTCCAATACCAATTAGACACATATTAGCACACATTGCGAACTAATTAAATAAGTGATTAATGTGATTGCGGTTAAGTTTTCTAAGTCAAAAATATAACCTACTATTACTTTGGTAGATGTTGAAATGAAGCATATGAAAATGATAGTTTGAATGAATTTGGTATTTACAGCTATCATTAGTAACATAATTAATTAGTTGAATTAATTCTTAGTGCCATGTTTTACATACGTGGGAAAAGATATACATAGTCTAACCCTAAATAATATCTTACATATTTTAAGCTCTTCTTAATCATAATTATCTACATGTTTGGGCCGTTACGTTCATGGTTTGAGAAGCTAAAATGAATTTCTAATTTTTCGAGAATGTATGAAAGAAGCTTATCTTATTCAGTTATTAGTGTATTCTTGATTATGCTATCTCGAAATTGAACTATCCTATCTCACTATTCTGACCTGAAGCAAACTAGAGTCACTACTCGAAGGTGACCTAAGGTTGCATTTGGTGTCATTCTTGTTGAGCCGGATCTAATCAAACATTGACGGTCACATGTCGTTTTCTGATACGTCCAAATATTGAAATCGTAATTTAACCCATATATACTTATATTTCATTTTCTAAAAAAAAAGAAAAGGGAATAATTTCCAAAACCAAATACAAGCTAATTAAGTAAAAAATCTAAAAAACTAATATTCTTTTAATATATAGAGTATTCTTTATCGGTATCCAAACACAACTTTTTCCCAAAAATATTTCCCCACTTATTTCCAAAAAAACATAGCTAGTGTGTATTTATACATTAACATGAAAAAAGAAGGAGGAGTTTGTATAATTATGTTGAAAAATAATTTTTAGAATTTGAAGTTATGTTTGAATTGCCATTTTACTTGAATTTTCTTTTGAAATTGGTTGAGTGAAAGTGATCAAATTTCATGGCCACAAATTATTTTCAATAATTTTTTAAAAACCTACTCCTAAAATGTATAGTCAAACGAGAGTTTAATTTATTTTCATTTTGAGAAAAAAACTAAGCCAAAGAAAAATTTAAACACTGACTAGTCTAATAATTACCAAGAAAAGAAAAAAAATTTAGTATTGTCAAAGACATAAAAAGTTGTATCATGTATGTATATCAGATGAATAGAACGTAGCTAGCAAAATATGGTACGTAAATCGACAAAAATGGCATAGTTTGACTTTGTTGTTCCTTTTTGAAACATATTTTTCAACGACTTTTTGTATTTTAATCTGATTTTTGTATTATTAAAAATCTTGATTAATAGAAATTAATTAACTATAAATAGTCATAGTAACTAGTATGTGTACAATTAGATATTCTTGACTTGCATTCAACATCAACTCTAACAAGGCAACCACTGTGGTATAGTGGTGAGACTGTTTCATCTGATTTCAAGTTCGAGCTCTGAATATTAAGAAAATCTTGTTGGGAAACTCACCACAAATGAGCATTGCAATGCGCGATTTAAATTTAGTCGGGGCTTCAATGCAAGATCCAGATACTGAGTGGAAATCAGTGTTAGCCCATATGAACCCTGCAGTGTCCAATTCAAATTCAATCGGGACTTCAATATAGAATTCGAAAATTGGTGGAAAACCAAAAAAAGCTCTAACAAGGCAAGCAAAGTATCCTACTAGGCAAAATCAGAATTTAAAATTTTATTTTTTTCAGTTATTAAATTTAAACTTATGATTCAATCATGACCAATAAATTTTTTAAGATAAATTTAAATTTGATAAAAAATCGTAACCTGAATTCTAGTTGTGACCCTATTTTCAACCACTTGATTAAGAGTCACTATCTTTGCTTTGGTTGCTTTAATTTTCATCAACTTGATGTTGGCCCTAGGAATTATCCAGGTTGCTGCCTTATTTTTTTTTCTTTTTTGTCTTTTTCTTTTTTAATTGTTTTATTTTTGCTGAGGTCTAAGAGGATGAATCTGGTCACTTTCTTTAATTTTAGGGCCTATTTTCTTTTAAATTGGGATTAATCAGCGGAGAAGTTAAAATTTTCGTTAAGGCTGTTTAAAATTTAATATGTATATGAAAACTAATTTTTCTATTTATATATTTAGTACAATTTGTCATATATATAATTTTTTGATGAATAATATTCAATTGATCACCTTTTATTACATGTAGCTATGTCAACTAAGATTAAATATTTATTCAATCAATAATAAAATATACTAATGTAGGAATTATATATTATGTGAAATTTCTTATTCGAAAGACTTAGTCATATACTTGTAATGCACGTATTCTTATAATCATATTCATATTACAACGACAATATAATCAGTGAAATTTCATAAGTGAGATTTGGAGAAGGTAGGGTGTGTCGCAGACCTTATCACTATCATGTGGAGGTAGAGATGTTGTTTCAGAAAACCCTCGGCTCAGAATATAGCAAATTCAGATACAAAGAAAAAAATATAACAAATCACAAGAAAACAATGTAAAATCTACCAGAAAATAGCAACAACAATAACAAAAAAATCGTATTCATATTGTATCTAAAATACAATAATCCACAAATTTTGCATACTTTATGCAACTATACATCAAAGTTTAATAATGCCAAACCAAACACAACATTACATTAGGTAGCAATTATTTTTTCTTGTTCAACGACCAGCCAAAAAAATGCCAAATTCTATGTTAATTAATATTTTTTATAGAGGTATTATATTAGTATTAATTAATATAGGTTGTATCTTTGAGGTTTCAACTTTTAATTTAATTAATCATCAAAAATAGCTGCACATTTTGTTATTTTGCCCTATTGTTATAATAATTACCTATGTATGACAGAATGTTTAGCCGACATGATCAAATTTTTTTAGTTGCTTAATTATTTTATATTCTCATGGTCCAAAAAGAATTTTCATTATACTAGATTGGATTTATATATACTGATAATGTAAAATTTTCTTATGATATTAGTATAGTTTAATCTTTTTAGTGGAAATAATCTTA